AATATATATTATTTCAAAAACATATGATTTTAATTATTTTGAATGTTACCTTTCACTCTCAAAACTGTCTGGATTTGGATTGGGTGGTAAGTTGTGATCACCCTAGCTATTACATTTGAATTTATATGACCCACCAGATGTGATTTTGCCAAGTTTGTATGAATGATATTTCATTCCTGTGTAATACATCTGCAAATTAAAATAAACACTCAAAGTGGTAGGTGGTGCCTGATCCCTGCTATAGCTGTCAGTTTCCCATTGGTGTGATTAACCAAGTCTGGTTTGATTTCTTAGCTTGCTTTTCTACTCATATATACCGTTCTATAAGAAGAACAAGCCTAAAAATTTCTAAAATAAATATATTATATTTCAAAGTCTTTGCAATTTACAGCAAGCCTTAAAAAAAGGCACTTGCTTGAACAGAAATATTTTTCAAATCTACCAAAGACATAACTATACTGCATTATCCCTGCCATGTAGGAAAAACACATGAAAACAATTCATCCATGATTGAAATCTAGTGATTTCTTTCCATCAACAGAGTTTCCAAATTATTTTACTGAATAATTCTAAACTCTTATCCTTGCTTTGGATAATAATTAATCCATAACCATGATTAGTTATTCATTGTTTAATGAGTAATATATATATAGCACTATATATGTTTATGGCATCATTCTAATACAGCTTATCTATATTCTCTTTCCCAAAATATCAAGATATATATCAAAACGAAACACAAATTCAAAAAAAGAACTAACCCAAATGCCCATCAATAATAGACTTGACAAAGAAAATGTAACACATACACTTATGGAATACTGCGCAGCCATAAAAAATGATGAGTTCCTGTCCTTTGTAGGGACTTGGATGAATCTGGAAACCATCATTCTCAGCAAACTGACACAAGAACAGAAAACCAAACACTGCATGTTCTTACTCATAGGCGGGTGTTAAACAATGAGAACATGTGAACTCAGGGAGAGGAACAGCACACACTGGGGGCAGTTGAGGGGGTCTAGGTGAGAGACAGTGGGAGGTGGGAAGGGTGGGGAGGGATAACATGGGGAGAAATGCAGGACATAGTATGCACCTATGCAACAACCCTGCATGACCTGCACCTGTACCCTAGAACCTAAAGTAAAATAAAAAATAAAAATTAAAAAAAAGAAATACAAAACCATTTCACCATAGTACCCAACAATATTAACATACAAGCTTTAATGATAGAGAATGGACTGGTCCACAATATGTCAAAGTTTGTCTTTGGCATTTCCCTGCTTCTCTTTCTCTTTTCCTCTCTTAGCTCCTGTGACTCCTCTGCCCAACTCCTAGGTATCCAGGGCCCTCATTCTGCCTTTTGGATGACAATAGTGACCCCACTTCAGTGCTCTCAGCTCAGGCTTGCCTTATACTGAAAAATCCAGAGGACTAACTTACTTCTTTTTTCTCTCTTCCTGAGCGCCATCAAAATGTCCATAACTAGAGAAAAGCAAATTAAACTAAGCCATGCTGGACTGTGAATAATTGATTAATAGACTACTTAACACTCCCTGGGATATTTTTCGTTTAAAAGAGGACACTGTAATCTAACTGACTCTTTAACAGGCAGAATTTCAAACAGTTCAAAAAAGTAAAGAGAAATATATAGGCTTCATTCAGGGAGATACATTTTGATAAAAGGGCCTTCTAAGGGTTCCTTAAATTATCCATGTTGGTGGCTACATACTCAGCCTCCATTCCTAACTAGGAGAATAAAGCATTGACTGAAATGTCCTTTTCCAATTTTATAAGTGAGCTGCAAAGTACTCTCAAAGGAAGGCATTTGACTTTGAAACAGACTTCAGAAGTCAAACTATGGTTTATTACTCCTTTGGGTGAACTGAGAAATACAAATGCTTCTTTTAATTTGGAGCCAAATTCCTAAGAGTCATCCTTAAACACCAAATATCACTATGACAAAGGGCAATTCCTTTGTTGCCGAAGTGACCCTTTTTAGATTAGTTACATGTTTTTCAACTTTAAACTGGAGGATGGGAATGAGCACCTGAAATATACAATATAGCCCTATATATTACAAAGATGCAAATAAGAATATACTGGGAAAGAAACTTCATACCAAAATTCTTCCTATCATTTTATCCATCCTACCCTCTAGATATCTATTTCACATACATACACACACACACACACACACACACACACACACACACACACACTCTCTCTCCTTTGAAGATAGTAAAAAGCATTATTCCTCAAATAGTATTTACAGATTATTCTCTTAAAATGTAGCTATTATCTAAAATTTTGGAATAACATTCATAATTACAATGCTATCATATAATTATTATTAATAAAATAGGTTTGATGTGATTAAAACTACCTTTTTGCTTTGATTGACAGGTTTTTTTTCTGCCTTTATACCAGGTATAAAATGCAAAGAGAAGGAACTACTTACTCTCTACCTTCAGTTTCACTGACATAAACTGAAGCTGATTCCCTGCTCTGGCTAATTGTATATTTTGCCCTCTCCTATACCCAGGTTGACAGTGTAGACTTCTCTGGTCATGATAAAAGCCTCTAGCATTTTACTCCATTGCAATAATTTTAAAAATCAACAACTTAGCCCTGGTTATCAGTCAACTACATTAATATCTCAGAGTTAAAAGCATCTTTTTGCAGAACTGTCAGGCTATAGTTAGCCCTTGGTGAACTTTCTCATTGCATTAAAATATTACATTCTGTCTTAATTTTCAAAATCCACATGATGGGTCTGGATAAAGGGTTACTACATAAGAAAGGCATTCTTAGTTTTGGTATCTATTCTCCAAACAAAATTTTATTATTTTTTTCTTTCAGCTCCAAAAGTAAGTCCTTCTCAGCTAAGTAAATTTTCTGCACCAGACCCTTCTGCACTATTAGCTCAAGATCTACCATCGGAAAGAGGCTGTCATTTCCCCAGTCAAAGGTATATCTTGAATAGGGTGTTCTAGGGTAATATAAAATATTAAACAAATGTATCTAACTCAGTCTTTTTTTAAAGACATGAACCCACAAGAATGGGAAGAACAGGACAGAAGACAATGGCAACGAAATTTTAAAAGCTGAGAAGCAGGTGGACAAGTAGTAATTGAAGTACTACACCCGAGAAAGCTCAATCTTAAGTGAGCAGTGGGAAAAGCCAAGAATTAACTAGTTACACAACAGATACCCACAAATGCTCAGCAATGGAGAATACCTATTTCTCTAAAACTGGGAATTTAAAAATGGGTAAGCAGATAGAAACCTAAAATAAGGAGCTTGAATAAAAGCTATCTGATAAGTAATTAGATACCTATGTCTTCCCCTACCCCACTTTAGTTAAATTACTAGAATCTTCCCTGAATCTAAGCATCTTTATATTGAGCTAGAACAAACTGATTCATCTCCAAATAAGGAATACCTTTAAAGAATTCGTTTATTGGTTAGTCCTCAATAATATACTCCTCTCTTTAGAAAAATAGAAACCAGCAGGTGCCAAAATTATTCCAGAGTCTACAGCATAGAGTACCCCTAAGATTTTCTCACGAGCTGATGAAGTGGAAAACTTTCTCTGACACATTTAGAACCCCAAAGTTTCATTACAAACATCCCAATAATTGGACAACTGCAATTCATTATGAGCATGCTGTGACCCAGGGCTCCATGAAGAAAGTATCTGAATTGTAGGAATCAGGTGAAATGAATCTTCTGAACTCTTTTACATTTCTAAAAATAAACAGGAGAGCCTCTGGATATAGTTAAAATACAGGAAATCACATGGATCACATGGAGCCTAGGTCCTGAGTTGTTTAATATTCATTGCAGTAAAACCTTTTGCACAGTATCTAAACTTCTAAAATACAGAGAATTATGTTTTTAAATTGCAAGGCCTTCCAAGAGGAAATACTGAAGTATTAATTTCCATCAAATACCAGTCAAATAATTTCACTCTAAATGATAATTTATGTTGATAGTTCCATATTAAAAATCATGTTGGAATCCTGTAACTTCCTCCCCTTGAAAACATATAATTAGTCATGCTGTATTGGAATCAGCTCTAGAAAATGATCTCTTAACACCAGAATTATTTTCACAGTATGTTCTGGAAGAACCACCCTGTCTGTATCATGCTAATTATCTTAAGTATATAGGGTAATTACTTTGAGATGGATAAGGTACTATCTTTATATTTAATCATTTCAAAAAACAGACTGATATTTTTAGTATGTTTTTAGAACTTCCATAACAGATTTTTCTCATAACAAATGACAAATATCCATCAGGTATCCAGAATAGCAATTCTAAAATCACTATTCACCTCTGTTCCATCTCACTTAGAGACAGTTAAGATTAATTAACAGTTAAGATTAATTTCTCTCAATAATTTCTTTGACCCATCTCTTGGGTCTGTAATTAGCATTTGACCCAATGGGCAGACACTATGAAGAGTAAAAAAAAAATGTATAATGCTGACGATTCTGTATATGACCACTTTGGAATATGAATCATATACCACTGAAACCTAGGATTTTTCTCATGCCACATTCAATCTTCCAATTCAGTCTTTAAAGAGATTAAATATGTCTGTGTTCAAGAGCACTCTAAAAATCTATATGTAAAAGTGATTTAGTAATGGTGTTGATTTATAAAAATAAAGCAATAGTAGAGCATACTACTCTTTGAAAATACGTGATTTTATTTTCTCTTTGTAAGAGACCTCTCAAACAAGTGTTGGTCTCTGTTGATAGTAGTCATCACAGCTCAGTATTAACATTAAATGTATTTAATTTGGCAAAATCATTTAACTTTTAAAAGGAAAATATTAAATATCCCAAATTAGTAAACCAACTCACAAAGCTACATGGGGATATAGCTTATAACTGAAGGTGCATGAGGATACAATGCTACTTAAAATCAGACAGTGACCAAGGGGCCTGAATTGTTGTATACAGAGAATGCAGTATATTAGTAACTTCTACCTTAAAATTTTTCATTCTGAGGTCATTTGTTTTTCTTCCTAGAAGGCACAGGAGAGCTAACTGAAAATATACTCATGGCTTGTAAGACAAAAAACATTGTCAACTATATATCTTATCCTCTCTAAGCAAAAATACAAACACACACACACACACACACACACACACACACACATAACCACACACACATAATTTTATCAAATCCTAAGAAAATTTCTTTGGATAAATTCCATGAGAACCTTGCAGAAAGTGTAGAAAGCCAATTGATAGTACTTAATTACTTACCTTTTTGCCTTAGTTTCAACAAAACTTTTAGAAACAAATTCACTGCCCCAAAATCATAATAATCTCAGTTGCTTCATAGTATAGAAAACTTGTATTCTTCCTTTACTCTTTTTTTATCTTTAACTATCCAGCTTTACATTGCTTTAAATTTTTAAGACCAATTCCAAATAGGTAATTAACATTTAAACAGATTCCTAAATCCTGGCAATCTGATTGTTTCTTCTCACATATGCCTATCTTCTCTGGACATCAAAAGAATCCTAGAATCAGAATTATGTCTTTGTGATGCATTAGGTCATTGGCTATTATCATCATCCTACCTATGTCAGGGGAAGCTCTGTTTTCCAAACAATATAGGTACAGGCTAAGCTCCTTCATGAAGAACAACAAATATGGCAACAGAAAATAATAAAATACCTCATAGGAGAAAGACTTTACTTTTAACATGTAAGATTTAAAAGAACCAACAAAAGTTAACTGAAGGATAAGCATTCCTTGTTTTTCACCACTTCTTAAAATATTTAACATTATGTAACAGTATAAAACTATAGTTGTTCATGGATGATTAAAACTGCCGTGCTTATAAAACCAAGTATTAGATTCTATCAAAAGACTTGGTCATTCTCAATGTTGTATTCAAATGCAACACTGAAGGCAAAACTAACAACTGTTTTACAGTATTAGGCCTAGAAAACTGAAATAACTTTGCAGCCATCTCTGACTGGTTTAAATTTATAAGAGCCAGCATAACTGGGCTTGGTGGTAAATGAACTAAATACTGTGATTAGCATCTGATCTTAATACACACACCGTGGTAGCCTCAAAATTGACCCTTTGTTATTGGTCACTCTTCTCTCTTGCATCACCACTATAGGGCAGTGATCCTCAATCACAAGTGATTTTACTCCCCAGAGGACATTTGATAATGTTTAAAGACATTTGTGGTTGTCACAATAGGGATAGTGTTACTGGCATATAATGGGTAAAGGCCAGGGATGATACTAAACCCCTTACAATGCACGGGACAACCCCTGACAACAAAGAATTATCCAACCCAAAATAATAATACTGTGAAGATTGAGAAACCCTGCCACAAAAACTAACACTCAAAAGTTCCCATTACTGTGTTATGTTTCATGTTGTAATAAGGAAGGCAAAAGAACTAGGGCTAACAAATAACTTTTTCAATGATCAGTTTAACCCTGGAATATATTCTTCATTTTGGCACTCAAAGTCCATATTCATTCATTAAGCTCTCATTCTAATCACACACTTTCATTCAAGAATCTTCTTATGCCATTCCAGTCAATTCTGGGAGATACCTCTGAATAATTAAATATCATTTTTAATAAAAGCCCTCAGGGTCATATGTCTATTTTGAACAAAGGCTCAAAGAGAAACTAAATAAAATACATTTTATCAGTCAGTAGTCTTTCAATGTCTTCTGTTTAAACCATCTAACTTTTACACCCCAGATGAAGTTGAATGTTCACTGGTAATTTTCCTGTTTCTGTTATAGTTCTGACAATTCTCTGAAGCTTCAACCTGTTCATAAAGAGAGATGCTCCAAAATGCAAATCAGGTATCCTCATTATACTAAAAACTATATAATGTCACAATAGAAATATCAAAAACCAAAGTTCTCTGATCAGATGCTTTCTATGAAATATGAAATAGCTAAACCAACTATAAGCTATGCCTCAAATTTATATGCTTCCAAGCTACTCAAATATAAAACAAGCACTAACAAATGGGGAACCTTGTCCATTGCAAGGCTAATAAATCAAAATCACCAAGGTAAGTTAACTGCATTTTCAGTGGGTGCAGATTTATCATCAGAGGCATGATAATCATGCAACCACTAGAAAAAGCAATGTGTTTTCCATGACCTTGGTCATAATTCACCAACACTGACTTGTAATGTTTCACTATATCACTCTGGGCACAGTCTAAGAAACTATTTCAGGACTTTGGGTCTTCTGAACATGCATATGTTCATCTGGTGATTTTTTTGACACTACAATTTAGTATGAAAACTATAAACACCTGATACCTAAAGAATAAGGCAGAGGATAAGAAAACTTAAGAAAAGCAGGACTTAAATGTATTTAAAAGTTTCTGAAAATGCAAAGCCGACTGAAAACCTCAGTCCAAATACAGAAGCCTCCACATTTCACCTTTTCGGCAATGACTATAGCTCTTACATCTGACCATTTATTTTAGTTGAATTCCCTATACCAAACTGGTAATAAAGCAAGTAAGAATGTCATCAAGGTTGAAATAAAGTCAGAGAAGTTTCAAGCATTCTGTTCTGTAAGTAGTTTTATTTTCATTCCTACAAGTGGAGAAAGGTTTGACTGCCAAAAGTGTTTCCAAGAAGGGGAAAGTGGTTAAGAGATGCTGATATCTTTCCAGGCTTTTCAGAGATTAATAGAAGGTATAGAAAATCACATAAGGAACACAAGATAGGGGAAATACGTTGTTGCAAAGATGGACAAGAAGTCAAGATATACTTACCTAACTTGCACCTTGGCTCCCAAGTTTAGAATGAGAAAGAAGTGAAAATACATTTTTTAAATTTAAAATGGAGATTTTTTAAATCCTATGACAAAAGGCCAACTGTCCAGAGATAAAATCTTGAAAAGTTTGACTGTTTAAAGAATTGCATAAAACCAAAAGCCTGAACTAGAATCCTGATTGGGATCCTTTTTGGATGTGTATATTTGGGCTGGCTACATAATCACTCAGAGTCTCTCGTGTTTGTTCATATTGTTCTTTATTTGTTTTATCTTTATTATTTGGTTGTTGTATTGGTTTTGGTTTATAGTTGTGAAGTAGAGATCATAATATATATAAAGAGCATGAAATAGATGTTATGCAAGAAAGTTGATACCATTAATTATTAACTCTCTCTCTGAAGTAGTTTATGGGGGTGTCTCTGTTAGAAGACAAAAAAGATAGACAGTGAGCAAGAGCTGCACATTTATTGCTGACCATGGGTTCTGAAGACAGTCCAGAAAGTGATCACCGTGGAGGTTTTCTGACTGCTGGGTGGGAAATGAATCCATTGGAAAGCTCAAGATTCTCATAACAGTAGTAGCTAATATGCTAGACACAACAATCTAATTGAGGTAATTCGATCATTACCTATTTGGATTCTTATTCTACTGCTGCATAAATCAAAGGTCAAATAAATTAAAGAGTTTTCCCAGGTTAGAGGCATCAAATGGAGGTGTAATAAAGTAAGCCTGAGAGCCAGCAGCAATGGTCATAGAGTGGGTTCTGTCCATAAGGGGTCCTAGATGCAATGAAACACTAGAATCATTCTCATAAAAGACCAAACCATAAAATATTCCTTTATTCTGATTCAAACATACATATTAATGGAGAAGAATAAAAAATTCAGAAGATTAAAAGATAATTTGAAGTAAATAGGAAAGACTGAATTACAAAATAAATATAATTGGGACAATAACTCTCCATTTGGGAAAGAAGAAATCCTATCACACACCACAACACACAAAAAATAAACTCCAGAGGAAATAACTTTTATTGTTATTATTGTTGTCATTGTTAGAGACAGAGTCTTGCTCTGTTGCCCAGGCTCAAGTACAGTAGCACAATCATGCTCACTGCAACCTTAAACTGCTGGGTTCAAGCAATCCTCCCACTTCATCCTCCTGAGTAGCTATGACTGCAGGCACACACCATCGCATCTGCCTAATTTTTTAAATTTTTGTACAGATAAGTCTCTCTTTGTTGCCCAGGCTGGTCTCAAACTCCTGGGTTCAAGCAGTCCTCCTACCTGGGACACCCAACTGCTAGCATTATATGCATGAGCCACCATACCTGGCCCCAAAATAAAATTTTATGAATAAAATCCAATAGCTTATTTTAAAAATTAGAGTACTTTAATCTTGAGGCTGTTCTTTCTAAGCATGCCTAAAGAGCCAAAAATCATACAGGAAAATATTAAAAGTCTTGACATGTAAAATTATAACTTCTGTTTCAAAAAATACAACATAAAATCAAAAGATATAAAAATTACTGAGAAAAACATTTGCAACATATCTTTAATTAATATAGAGAAAAGATTATCAACTTAAAAAGAGGAACACCATTTTTAAAAAAATCAAAAGACATACAGAGATAATTCATAAAATAAATGCAAATGTCCACTAATTAAAAGATGCATGATCTCACTGATGATCAAAAGGTAACAATTAAAACAACATCTAATACTTTTTACCTATCTTTCAAAAATTTTGATGATTGTTAAATGTCCAGTGCTGGGGAAGGTGGAACTCATTTCATTGCTGATGAGAGAGTACTTGGGTACAAGTTATCTGGAAAGGAGTCAAGCAATATACATCAAATTGAAAATATGGCCGGGATGGGCGGGGCAGCAACTCACGCCTGTAATCCTAGCACTTTGGTAGGCCAAGGTGGGCAGATCATGAAGTGAAGAGATTGAGACCATCCTGGCCAACATGGTGAAACCCCATCTCTACTAAAAATACAAAAATTAGCTGGGCATGGTGGCACCTGCCTGTAATCCCAGCTACTCAAGAGGCTGAGGCGAAAGAATCGCTTAAACCCGGCAGGCGGAGGTTGCAGTGAGCAGAGACTGCACCACTGCACTCCAGCCTTGCAACAGAGAGACGCTATATATATATATATATATATATAGCCGAGCATGGTGGCTCACGCCTGTAATCTCAACACTTTGGGAGGAGGCGGAGGCTGGCAGATAACAAGGTCTAGAGTTCGAGACCAGCCTGGCCAACATGGTGAAACCCCGTCTCTACTAAAAATAGAAAAAAAATTAGGTGGCATGGTGGTGCAGGCCTGTAATCCTAGCTACTCAGGAGGCTGAGGCAGAAGAATTACTTGAACCTGGGAGGCAGAGACTGCAGTGAGCTAAGATCTCCCCACTGCACTCCAGCCTGAGCTACAGAGAGAGCTCCATCTCAAGAAAACAAAAGGCATATATATATTATATATATATCTGTCTTTTTTTTTTCAAATTAGCAATTCTACTGCTAGGGATGTTTCCAAGAAACTAATCTAACAAGGATTCAGTACATTGTGTAGAAAGGCATTAATGGAAAAATTAGTTAAAACGATGACATCTTTCAAACAACATAAATGTCCCTTGGTTTGTGGATCAAATTATGGTATTTCCATACTACGAAATGTTATTCATTCGTTTAGAAAAGTAAATCAATATTTAGAATGCTGT